CCATGCTTGTGTTGCCAGGACTGTGGGCTTGGTGCCCAGTAGGGCTGGCCTCTGCCCTCACCCTCCTGCTCATGCTATTTGTCCCCCACAGACATGTTGTCGCTGCAAAGCCAGGACAAGGTGCACAAAGAAATTCAGCATCCAGAAGTTCCCCAAGATCCTGGTGCTTCGTATCCTTCAGGAAGAGGGATGGGGTCAGGGGGTGCTGGTGGGGGGGCAGGCAGTTCCTCAAGGGCTCCCCTTTGTCCCTCGCCTCCTTGACGTGCCTCCCCAGACCTGAAGCGCTTCTCAGAGGCCAGGATACGAACAAGCAAGCTCACCACTTTTGTCAACTTCCAGCTGAAGGACCTGGACCTTCGGGAGTTTGCCTCACAGAGCTGCAGTGAGTGGTGGGCTCCAGCCCAGCCCTGGGCTCAGCGTGGCTCCTGGCTGGGTCCCTCATGCCCCTCAGGGTGCTGCAGCCTGCAGCAGGGATGAGGACACGGGGGGTGGGAGCTGCAGACATCCAGGGTGCTGGTCCCAGCTCTGAGCTGGCAAGTTGTGGGACAGCAGGGCAACAGCTGGCAGAGCTGAGCACCGCCCTTGCTCCCCACAGACCACGCCGTTTACAACCTCTACGCTGTCTCCAACCACTCGGGCACCACCATGGGGGGACACTACACTGCCTACTGCAAGAACACTGTCTCCGGAGAGGGGCACAGTTTCAACGACTCCCGGTGAGGCTGCGCGTGGGACAGGGGTGGCTGTGGGGTCGGTGCGAGCAGGGACCCCCTGCCCAGGGCATCCCGGTGCTGCATCCCCATTGCTCATAGCGCATCTGCCCATCTCCGCAGGGTTACCCCCATGTCATCCAGCCACGTCCGCAGCAGTGATGCCTACCTGCTCTTCTATGAGCTGGCCAGCCCGTCCTCCCGCATGTAGCCAGCCCTGCCTCCCTGGGGACCCCTGCACCACCCCTCAGAGCCAGTCCCTCCAGGTTTCAGCTGTTTGCCCCCCAGGTGCAAGAGGGAGGTGAAGAGGAGAGACCCCAAGGTGGCTGCAGAGGGAGGCTGGAGGCAGCCAGGAGCAGACCCCAGGCAAGGACACCCCAGCTCCGAACTGAGGAGGGCAGCCCGCGGCAGGGCAGGGCCCAGGCAGCTCAGGCACCTCCTCCTCACTTGCATTTGATTTTTACCCTGGGGTATGTTTTAGTTTCTTTTTTTTTTTTTTCTTTTTTGTTGGTGTGTGATAAAAATACTGAGCAAGGGACTCAGCAGGCATGGGGCTGCCTGCCCCATTGACTCAGCCAGGACTTCTGCTCCCCTGGGGGAGCACCCAGAGCCGGGGACCCAGGAGAGAGCCTCCTGCATCGCTCCTGGCCTCTTGGCACTCCCCTTCTGCTTGGCCATCCCAGAGGATTTGTGAACTGCTCCCGGCCTCCTCCTGGCACTTATGAACTTCCTGGCAAAGGACCCTGGCCCTTCAGTTGCCTCCATCCCATCTCAGGCAGCACATCCCCACTGGCTGCCCCATGCACACTCCTCAAAGCAGCCTGTGTTCAAGCCCAGACTCACGGACAGGAGGAAGGAAAACATTTTGTGGAATTCTTATGTATTTATAGTGGACTTTGCTCAACCTGGAGCACCCCGCTGCTTCCTGGCTCTCCAGGGACTTGTGCCGGGGGATGCTTTGGGTAGGTTTTTACCTGCCTCCTCATACGACGGTGCCTTAAACCATTTAGGGGAGCAGGAGGCCATTGGGGTTGCACAGGAACATCCATCCTGCGGAGGCGAGGGAGGGGAGGATAGTGGCTTTCTGGGACCAACTGCAATGGGGGCTTTCTTCTCCCTGCAATCAGGAGCCCCCCTGGATGCCCAGGAAAGTGTGTCCCCACCTACCCTGCTGCTCTCTCCTCCAACTAGCAAACCCCAGTGGCCTTTTTAGCCTTTTCTCTATTTTATTCTCCTCCCCATCCTGCCTTGCCTGAGGTGCAGCGGGAGGAGAGATGGGCCCGACCCAGCACAATCCCAGCCCCAGCCTGCAAGGCAGCTATGGCCAGCCCAGCCACCTGTCCCGCTTCGCCCTTGCTGGCCCTGCGGGCACAGGCTGAGCTCTCTCCCATCATGACCATCCTGCCCAACCTGGGGCATCCCCGAGGGGCTCAGGGAGGGCAGGCCAGGATGGAGGGGCTGCCCGCGGCAGGTACCGGACTGGGGCAGCATTGCTGCTTGGCAGGTGGCTTGTTTACTGTGTAAGCAAGATGGGTGGGAAGCGTCTCGTACAAGGGAGACTTGTGCAGGAATAAATTTTAGCTTGAACAGAGTGCTGTGTACGTGTGCTTGTCTCTGGGCAGGCAGACAAAGGACTGTGGCTCCAGCAATAGGAGGGAACCCGTACTGGTGCTGGAGCAGCCTTCCCCTGGGTGGCTCTAGAGACCAGGAGCACCCACCCCCCAGGGCTTGCCTGGAGCAAGGGAGACGTGGGTGCAGGCAGCAGTCCCTCTCCTCCAGCCGCTCACAGTGCCTGGAGGCAGAGGGAGCCTTTCCTCCTCCTCCAGCTCTGTGGAGCTCCCCAGTGCTCATGCTCTTCCAAAAAACCTGAACAATGGGCCTTTTCTCCCCTGCTTAGGGACAGAGAGGGGCACTGAGGCATTAAGGGGCAGGGGGAATGCAGGTGGAGGGGCTCAGGCGCCTGGTGCCAGGGAGGTGCAAGGGAAGGAGGGACGCATTCAGCCTGGGCTCCCCA